GCCAGCCCTGTAGGGTCTCTGAGAGCTGTTGGCCACTATTTGAATAACAAGAACTGCACAACTACAACGCCATCATCACATTTCAGTATTATCACCGACTTGTGTGGAATGGAGAATAATATCAACAAGGAAAACATAAGTTGGGGTGTTGTGCTGACTGGCTAGATCTCTTCTCTGTATTTTAAATGTTTGGTGGGGTTTTTATTTACTAGTCCACCAATGCAGTTAGGTGAAGTTGATGGACGTATATGTATCATGCTACAGCACGAATGGTATATGGGGCCCCCATGGGGTGGCTCCTGGGTGTCCCAGGGGTTACTCTGCCTCTTAGAAGTGCAGGGACCCCTGCTGTCCCCTGGGAGGGACTCAGGGGAGACCCGCTTATCCTGGGGAGGGTCCCTAGGGGCACCACACCTGGGGAAGGTACCAGGGGCACCCAGTAACCCCTGGGGAAGGTCCTGGTATACCCAACGCTTCTGAGAGGGTTTCCCGGGTCCTGCCGCCCTAGGATGGTTCCTGGGGCCCCGCCGTCCGTGGGAGGAATTCAAGGGCGTTGCCGTCCCTCGGAGGTAAAATGGGTCCCACCGCCCCTGGGAGGTCTCCAGCACCTCGGGAGGGACTCAGACAAACTTTTCACCTAGTTGGGTCCCAGGGGCCCCTGCTGCCCACCTGGGTTTGGTCCCTCTAGGGATTCCACTTGCCCTGGAAGGTCCTAAGTGAGCCCAGCAGCCATAGGGGTTCCCTTCCGCAAATTAGATAGGCCCTGTTAGAGGCATTTCTGCAGTTCTCTGGGGCATGTTTTTGCACTATTTAAAACGCTGAGTAGCTGCAACTACAACGCCCATCATCATTTCCAGTATTATCACCTACTTAATAATGGAATGAAGTATATCAACAGGAAAACATAAGTTGGGGTGTTGTGCTGACTGGCTGATCTCTTCTCCTATTGGCTGATAATTTGGTGGGGTTTTTACACAGTCCTGTCACAGTTAAATGAGGTTGATGGGCGTGCATAATATGTGCCACAGCGCGAATAAGTGTGCTATGGGACCCCAACAGGTGCGGCTCCTGGGGTGTCCCAGGGCCTCGCCACCTCTTCAGAGGGGTCCCAAGGGCCCCTGCCCATCCTAGGGAGGGACTCAGGGAGTCACTTCTCCAGGGAGGATCCTAGGGGCACCAACACACTGGAAGGTACCAGGGGTCCCCACAACCCCTAGGAAGGTCCGTGTTTTGACCTTCTGGAAGGGTTGCATGAGCCCTACTTTCAGGAGGTTCTGGGGTCCACGCCATCCGTGGGAGGGTTCAGGAGGCGCTGGCATCCCTCGGAGGGTAAATGGGTCCCACCCGCCCCCGGTAGGGTCCCCAACGCACACCTGGGAGGGGTCTCAGGGGAACCACCTTACCTTGGTGGGTCCCAGGGCCCCTGCTCCCTCTGGGTGGGTCCTGGGATTCCACTGCCCCTGGGGAGGGTCCCCGGGGCTGGCACCTCCCTAGAGAGGTTCCCTGCTGCACCTGGGAGGGGTATCTGAGTGCCAGCCCTGTGGGAGTCTCTGGGGAGCTGTTATTACACTATTTGGGAATGCTGGGAGCTGTGCTACAGCATGCATCCATCCCATTCCAGTAATATCACCGCTTAACCATGGAATGGAGAATAATATCAACTGGAAAACATAAGTTGGGTGTTGTGCTGACTAGCTGATCTCCTTCTCCTATTGGCTGTCATTTGGTGGGGTTTTTATTACAGATCCTGTAATCACAGTTGGAAATGAGTTGATGGGCATTATATAATATAATACCACAGCACGAATAAGTGTGCTATAGGGCCCTAAGTGCGGCTCCTGGTGTGTCCAGGGACCTCGCCACCTCTTAGAGGTTCCCAGGACCCCTGCCATCCCTGGGAGGGGGACTCAGGAGACCCGCCTGTCAGGGAGGGATCTAGGGCACCACACCACACCTGTGAAGGTACCAGGGGAGCTTGGTAACCCCTGGGAAGGTCCCTGGTACACCTTACACTTCTGAGAGGGGTTTCACGTGTCCCTGCCGCCCTAGGATGGTTCCTGGGGCCCCCACCCGTCCGTGGGAAGTTCCAAGGGCGTTGCCGTCCCTCGGAGGGTAAAATGGGTCACCAGCCGCCCCTGGGAGGGTCTCAGCACCTCGGAGGGACTCGACGGCACCATCTTACCTGGATTTGGGTCCCAGGGGCCCCTGCTGCCTCTGGGTTGGTCCCTGGGGTTCCACTGCCCCTGGAAGGGTCCTAAGTGACCCCAGCCACGCCTGGGAAGGTTCCCTTCTGCCGTGGGAATAGGCCCTGGTAGAGCCAGCCCTGTGGGTTCTCCTGGGGGCAGCTGTTTTTGCACTATTTGAGCAGTGGTAGCTGCAACTACAACGCCCATCATCATTTCCAGTATTATCACCTGTAATAATGGAATGGAGAATAATATCCAACAGGAAAACATAAGTTGGGGTGTTGTGCTGACTGGCTGATCTCTTCTCCTATTGGCTCTGATAATTTGGTGGGGGTTTTATTTTTGGTCCACCAATCACAGTTAAATGGGGAGTTGATGGGCGTACATAATATGTACCCACGGCGCGAATAAATTGTGCTATAGGACCCCTAAGTGCGGCTCCTGGGGTGTCCCAGGGACTCTCGCCACCTCTTGCAGAGGGTCCCAGGGCCCTGCCAAGCCCCTGGGGAGGACTCAGGGAGACCCGCCCTATCGGGAGGATCCCTGAGGGGCACCAACTTACACCTGGGAAGGTACCGGGGGCCCCACCAACCCCTGAGAAGGTCCCTCGTACCCGGCGGCTTCTGGAAGGTTGCATGGGCCCTGCCTCCCGTGGGGAGGGTTCCTGGGGTCCCACGCCATCCGTGGGAGGGTTACAGGAGGCGCTGCCATCCCTCAGGTAAAATGGATTTCCGCCCCCGGTAGAGGTCCCCAACGCACCTGGGAGGGTGTCAGGGGAACCACCTTGCAGCAGGTGGGTCCCCAGGGCCCCCCTATCCCTCTGGGTGGGGTCCTGGGATTCCACTGCCTAGAGGAGGGTCCCAGGGCCCCAGCCACGCCTAGGAGGTTCCCTGCTGCACCTGGGAGGGTATCTAGGAGTGCCAGCCCTGTAGGGTCTCTGGGGGGAGCTGTTATTACACTATTTAGAATGCTGGGAGCTGTAACTACAACGCCCATCATCACATTTCCAGTATTATCACCGACTTAACAATGGAATGGAGAATAATATCCAACAGGAAAACATAAGTTGGGGTGTTGTGCTGACTGGCTGATCTCTTCTCCTATTGGCTGATAATTTGGTGGGGTTTTATTTTAGTCCACCAATCACAGTTAGGTAAGGAGTTGATGGACGTATATAATATGTACCACAGCACGAATAAGTGTGCTATAGGGCCCTAGCAAGTGCGGCTCCTGGGGTGTCCCAGGGACCTCGCCACCTCTTAGAGGGTCCCAGGGACCCCTGCCATCCCTGGGAGGGAGCCAGAGAGCCCCGCCTATCCTGGGAGGGTCCCTAGGGGCACCACCTCACCTGGGAAGGTACCAGGGGCACCCAGTAACCCCTGGGAAGGTCCCTGGTACACCCAACGCTTCTGAGAGGGTTTCACGGGTCCTGCCGCCCCTAGGATGGTTCCTGGGGCCCCCGCCGTCCGTAGGAGGATTCCAAGGAGCGTTGCCGTCCCTCGATGGGTAAAATGGGTCGCAGCCGCCCCTGGGAGGGTCTCCAACGCACCTCGGAGGGACTCAGACGGCACCATCTTACCTGGTTGGGTCCCAGGGGCCCCTGCTGCCTCTGGGTTGGTCCCTGGGGATTCCACTGCCCCTGGAAAGGTCCTAAGTGACCCAGCCACGCCTAGGAGGTTCCCTTCCGCAAATGAGATAGGCCCTGGTAGAGCCAGCCCTGTAGGTTCTCTGGGGGCAGCTGTTTTTGCACTATTTAGAACGCTGGTAGCTGCAACTACAACGCCCATCATCACATTTCCAGTATTATCACCTACTTAATAATGGAATGGAGAATAATATCCAACAGGAAAACATAAGTTGGGGTATTGTGCTGACTGGCTGATCTCTTCTCCTATTGGCTGATAATTTGGTGGGGTTATATTTTAGTCCACCAATCACAGTAAGGTAAGGAGTTGATGGACGTACATAATATGTACCACAGCGCGAATAAGTGTGCTATAGGACCCCAGCAAGTGCGGCTCCTGGGGTGTCCCAGGGACCTCGCCACCTCTTAGAGGGTCCCAAGGGCCCCTGCCATCCCTGGGAGGGACTCAGGGAGACCCGCCTATCCAGGGAGGATCCCTAGGGGCACCAACACACCTGGGAAGGTACCAGGGGCCCCCACCAACCCCTGGGAAGGTCCCTGGTACACCCGACGCTTCTGGAAGGGTTGCATGGGCCCTGCCTCCCGTAGGAGGGTTCCTGGGGTCCACGCCATCCGTGGGAGGGTTCCAGGAGGCGCTGGCATCCCTCGGAGGGTAAAATGGGTCCCACCCGCCCCCGGTAGGGTCCCCAACGCACCTGGGAGAGTCTCAGAGGGCACCACCTTACCTGGGTGGGTCCCAGGGGCCCCTGCTCCCTCTGGGTGGGTCCCTGGAGATTCCACTGCCCCTGGGAGGGTCCCAAGGGCCCCGGCCACGCCTAGGAGGTTCCCTGCTGCACCTGGGAGGGTATCTAGGAGTGCCAGCCCTGTAGGGTCTCTGGGGGGAGCTGTTATTACACTATTTAGAATGCTGGGAGCTGTAACTACAACGCCCATCATCACATTTCCAGTATTATCACCGACTTAACAATGGAATGGAGAATAATATCCAACAGGAAAACATAAGTTGGGGTGTTGTGCTGACTGGCTGATCTCTTCTCCTATTGGCTGATAATTTGGTGGGGTTTTATTTTAGTCCACCAATCACAGTTAGGTAAGGAGTTGATGGACGTATATAATATGTACCACAGCACGAATAAGTGTGCTATAGGGCCCCAGCAAGTGCGGCTCCTGGGGTGTCCCAGGGACCTCGCCACCTCTTAGAGGGTCCCAGGGACCCCTGCCATCCCTGGGAGGGAGCCAGAGAGCCCCGCCTATCCTGGGAGGGTCCCTAGGGGCACCACCACACCTGGGAAGGTACCAGGGGCACCCAGTAACCCCTGGGAAGGTCCCTGGTACACCCGACGCTTCTGGAAGGGTTGCATGGGCCCTGCCGCCCCTAGGAGGGTTCCTGGGGACCACGCCATCCGTGGGAGGATTCCAGGAAGCGCTGCCGTCCCTCGGAGGGTAAAATGGGTCCCACCCGCCCCTGGGAGGGTCCCCAACGCACCTCGGAGGGTCTCAGAGGACACCACCTTACCTGGGTGGGTCCAAGGGGCCCCGGCTGCCTCTGGGTGAGTCCCTGGACCCTCCACTGCCCCTGGAAAGGTCCCAAGTGACCCAGCCACGCCTAGGAGGTTCCCTGCAGCAAATGAGATAGGCCCTGGTAGAGCCAGCCCTGTAGGTTCTCTGGGGGCAGCTGTTTTTGCACTATTTAGAACGCTGGTAGCTGCAACTACAACGCCCATCATCACATTTCCAGCATTATCACCGACTTAATAATGGAATGGAGAATAATATCCAACAGGAAAACATAAGTTGGGGTGTTGTGCTGACTGGCTGATCTCTTCTCCTATTGGCTGATAATTTGGTGGGGTTTTATTTTAGTCCACCAATCACAGTTAGGTAAGGAGTTGATGGACGTACATAATATGTACCACAGCGCGAATAAGTGTGCTATAGGGCCCCAGCAAGTGCGGCTCCTGGGGTGTCCCAGGGACCTCGCCACCTCTTAGAGGGTCCCAGGGACCCCTGCCATCCCTGGGAGGGACTCAGGGAGACCCACCTATCCTGGGAGGGTCCCTAGGGGCACCACCACACCTGGGAAGGTACCAGGGGCACCCAGTAAACCCTGGGAAGGTCCCTGGTACACCCAACGCTTCTGAGAGGGTTTCACGGGTCCTGCCGCCCCTAGGATGGTTCCTGGGGCCCCCGCCGTCCGTAGGAGGATTCCAAGGAGCGTTGCCGTCCCTCGGAGGGTAAAATGGGTCGCAGCCGCCCCTGGGAGGGTCTCCAACGCACCTCGGAGGGACTCAGACGGCACCTCACCTGGTTGCTGGGTCCCCAGGGGCCCCTGCTGCTTTATGGAGTTGGTCCTAGGATTCCACTGCCCTGGAAGGTCTATGGCCAGTGGCACGCCCTAGGAGGTTCCTTCCGCAATTAGATAGGCCCTGGTAGAGCCCAGCCTATAGGTTCTCTGGGGCTGTTTTCTTTTCTTTAGAACGCTGGTAGCTGCAACTTCAACGCCCCATCATCACATTTCAGTATTATCGCAAACTAACTAATGGAATGGAGAATAATATCAACAGGAAAACGCAGTTGGAATTATTTGCTGCTGACTAGCTGATCTCGTCTCCTATTGGCCCAATCATTTGGTAGGGGTTTTATTTGAATCCACCAATCACAGTTAGGTAAGGAGTTGATGGACGTACATAATATGTACCACAGCGCGAATAAGTGTGCTATAGGGCCCCAGCAAGTGCGGCTCCTGGGGTGTCCCAGGGACCTCGCCACCTCTTAGAGGGTCCCAAGGGCCCCTGCCATCCCTGGGAGGGACTCAGGGAGACCCGCCTATCCAGGGAGGATCCCTAGGGGCACCAACACACCTGGGAAGGTACCAGGGGCCCCCACCAACCCCTGGGAAGGTCCCTGGTACACCCGACGCTTCTGGAAGGGTTGCATGGGCCCTGCCTCCCGTAGGAGGGTTCCTGGGGTCCACGCCATCCGTGGGAGGGTTCCAGGAGGCGCTGGCATCCCTCGGAGGGTAAAATGGGTCCCACCCGCCCCCGGTAGGGTCCCCAACGCACCTGGGAGGGTCTCAGAGGGCACCACCTTACCTGGGTGGGTCCCAGGGGCCCCTGCTCCCTCTGGGTGGGTCCCTGGAGATTCCACTGCTCCTGGGAGGGTCCCAAGGGCCCCGGCCACGCCTAGAAGGTTCCCTGCTGCACCTGGGAGGGTATCTAGGAGTGCCAGCCCTGTAGGGTCTCTGGGGGGAGCTGTTATTACACTATTTAGAATGCTGGGAGCTGCAACTACAACGCCCATCATCACATTTCCAGTATTATCACCGACTTAACAATGGAATGGAGAATAATATCCAACAGGAAAACATAAGTTGGGGTGTTGTGCTGACTGGCTGATCTCTTCTCCTATTGGCTGATAATTTGGTGGGGTTTTATTTTAGTCCACCAATCACAGTTAGGTAAGGAGTTGATGGACGTATATAATATGTACCACAGCACGAATAAGTGTGCTATAGGGCCCCAGCAAGTGCGGCTCCTGGGGTGTCCCAGGGACCTCGCCACCTCTTAGAGGGTCCCAGGGACCCCTGCCATCCCTGGGAGGGAGCCAGAGAGCCCCGCCTATCCTGGGAGGGTCCCTAGGGGCACCACCACACCTGGGAAGGTACCAGGGGCACCCAGTAACCCCTGGGAAGGTCCCTGGTACACCCAACGCTTCTGAGAGGGTTTCACGGGTCCTGCCGCCCCTAGGATGGTTCCTGGGGCCCCCGCCGTCCGTAGGAGGATTCCAAGGAGCGTTGCCGTCCCTCGGAGGGTAAAATGGGTCGCAGCCGCCCCTGGGAGGGTCTCCAACGCACCTCGGAGGGACTCAGACGGCACCACCTCACCTGGTTGGGTCCCAGGGGCCCCTGCTGCCTCTGGGTTGGTCCCTGGGGATTCCACTGCCCCTGGAAAGGTCCTAAGTGACCCAGCCACGCCTAGGAGGTTCCCTTCCGCAAATTAGATAGGCCCTGGTAGAGCCAGCCCTATAGGTTCTCTGGGGGCAGCTGTTTTTGCACTATTTAGAACGCTGGTAGCTGCAACTACAACGCCCATCATCACATTTCCAGTATTATCACCTAATTAATAATGGAATGGAGAATAATATCCAACAGGAAAACATAAGTTGGGGTGTTGTGCTGACTGGCTGATCTCTTCTCCTATTGGCTGATAATTTGGTGGGGTTTTATTTTAGTCCACCAATCACAGTTAGGTAAGGAGTTGATGGACGTATATAATATGTACCACAGCACGAATAAGTGTGCTATAGGGCCCCAGCAAGTGCGGCTCCTGGGGTGTCCCAGGGACCTCGCCACCTCTTAGAGGGTCCCAGGGACCACTGCCATCCATGGGAGGGACTCAGGGAGACCCGCCTATCCAGGGAGGATCCCTAGGGGCACCAACACACCTGGGAAGGTACCAGGGGCCCCCACCAACCCCTGGGAAGGTCCCTGGTACACCCGACGCTTCTGGAAGGGTTGCATGGGCCCTGCCGCCCCTAGGAGGGTTACTGGGGACCACGCCATCCGTGGGAGGATTCCAGGAAGCGCTGCCGTCCCTCCGAGGGTAAAATGGGTCATAGCCGCCCACCAGGGAGTCCAACACTCGGAGGGACTCCAGTAACATGTCTCCTGGTTGGTCCCAGAATTTTCTGCCTCTGGGTTGGTCCCTGGGGATTCCACTGCCCCTGGAAAGGTCCTAAGTGACCCAGCCACGCCTAGGTGGTTCCCTTCCGCAAATGAGATAGGCCCTGGTAGAGCCAGCCCTGTAGGTTCTCTGGGGGCAGCTGTTTTTGCACTATTTAGAACGCTGGTAGCTGCAACTACAACGCCCATCATCACATTTCCAGTATTATCACCTACTTAATAATGGAATGGAGAATAATATCCAACAGGAAAACATAAGTTGGGGTGTTGTGCTGACTGGCTGATCTCTTCTCCTATTGGCTGATAATTTGGTGGGGTTTTATTTTAGTCCACCAATCACAGTTAGGTAAGGAGTTGATGGACGTACATAATATGTACCACAGCGCGAATAAGTGTGCTATAGGGCCCCAGCAAGTGCGGCTCCTGGGGTGTCCCAGGGACCTCGCCACCTCTTAGAGGGTCCCAAGGACCCCTGCCATCCCTGGGAGGGACTCAGGGAGACCCGCCTATCCAGGGAGGATCCCTAGGGGCACCAACACACCTGGGAAGGTACCAGGGGCCCCCACCAACCCCTGGGAAGGTCCCTGGTACACCCGACGCTTCTGGAAGGGTTGCATGGGCCCTGCCTCCCGTAGGAGGGTTCCTGGGGTCCACGCCATCCGTGGGAGGGTTCCAGGAGGCGCTGGCATCCCTCGGAGGGTAAAATGGGTCCCACCCGCCCCCGGGTAGGGTCCCCAACGCACCTGGGAGAGTCTCAGAGGGCACCACCTTACCTGGGTGGGTCCCAGGGGCCCCTGCTCCCTCTGGGTGGGTCCCTGGAGATTCCACTGCCCCTGGGAGGGTCCCAAGGGCCCCGGCCACGCCTAGGAGGTTCCCTGCTGCACCTGGGAGGGTATCTAGGAGTGCCAGCCCTGTAGGGTCTCTGGGGGGAGCTGTTATTACACTATTTAGAATGCTGGGAGCTGTAACTACAACGCCCATCATCACATTTCCAGTATTATCACCGACTTAACAATGGAATGGAGAATAATATCCAACAGGAAAACATAAGTTGGGGTGTTGTGCTGACTGGCTGATCTCTTCTCCTATTGGCTGATAATTTGGTGGGGTTTTATTTTAGTCCACCAATCACAGTTAGGTAAGGAGTTGATGGACGTATATAATATGTACCACAGCACGAATAAGTGTGCTATAGGGCCCCAGCAAGTGCGGCTCCTGGGGTGTCCCAGGGACCTCGCCACCTCTTAGAGGGTCCCAGGGACCCCTGCCATCCCTGGGAGGGAGCCAGAGAGCCCCGCCTATCCTGGGAGGGTCCCTAGGGGCACCACCACACCTGGGAAGGTACCAGGGGCACCCAGTAACCCCTGGGAAGGTCCCTGGTACACCCAACGCTTCTGGAGGGTTTGCATGGGCCCTGCCGCCCCTAGGAGGGTTCCTGGGGACCACGCCATCCGTGGGAGGATTCCAGGAAGCGCTGCCGTCCCTCGGATGGTAAAATGGGTCCCACCCGCCCCTGGGAGGGTCCCCAACGCACCTCGGAGGGTCTCAGAGGACACCACCTTACCTGGGTGGGTCCAAGGGGCCCCGGCTGCCTCTGGGTGAGTCCCTGGACCCTCCACTGCCCCTGGAAAGGTCCTAAGTGACCCAGCCACGCCTAGGAGGTTCCCTTTCGCAAATGAGATAGGCCCTGGTAGAGCCAGCCCTGTAGGTTCTCTGGGGGCAGCTGTTTTTGCACTATTTAGAACGCTGGTAGCTGCAACTACAACGCCCATCATCACATTTCCAGTATTATCACCGACTTAATAATGGAATGGAGAATAATATCCAACAGGAAAACATAAGTTGGGGTGTTGTGCTGACTGGCTGATCTCTTCTCCTATTGGCTGATAATTTGGTGGGGTTTTATTTTAGTCCACCAATCACAGTAAGGTAAGGAGTTGATGGACGTACATAATATGTACCACAGCGCGAATAAGTGTGCTATAGGACCCCAGCAAGTGCGGCTCCTGGGGTGTCCCAGGGACCTCGCCACCTCTTAGAGGGTCCCAAGGGCCCCTGCCATCCCTGGGAGGGACTCAGGGAGACCCGCCTATCCAGGGAGGATCCCTAGGGGCACCAACACACCTGGGAAGGTACCAGGGGCCCCCACCAACCCCTGGGAAGGTCCCTGGTACACCCGACGCTTCTGGAAGGGTTGCATGGGCCCTGCCTCCCGTAGGAGGGTTCCTGGGGTCCACGCCATCCGTGGGAGGGTTCCAGGAGGCGCTGGCATCCCTCGGAGGGTAAAATGGGTCCCACCCGCCCCCGGTAGGGTCCCCAACGCACCTGGGAGGGTCTCAGAGGGCACCACCTTACCTGGGTGGGTCCCAGGGGCCCCTGCTCCCTCTGGGTGGGTCCCTGGGGATTCCACTGCCCCTGGGAGGGTCCCAAGGGCCCCGGCCACGCCTAGGAGGTTCCCTGCTGCACCTGGGAGGGTATCTAGGAGTGCCAGCCCTGTAGGGTCTCTGGGGGCAGCTGTTATTACACTATTTAGAATGCTGGGAGCTGCAACTACAACGCCCATCATCACATTTCCAGTATTATCACCGACTTAACAATGGAATGGAGAATAATATCCAACAGGAAAACATAAGTTGGGGTGTTGTGCTGACTGGCTGATCTCTTCTCCTATTGGCTGATAATTTGGTGGGGTTTTATTTTAGTCCACCAATCACAGTTAGGTAAGGAGTTGATGGACGTATATAATATGTACCACAGCACGAATAAGTGTGCTATAGGGCCCCAGCAAGTGCGGCTCCTGGGGAGTCCCAGGGACCTCGCCACCTCTTAGAGGGTCCCAGGGACCCCTGCCATCCCTGGGAGGGACTCAGGGAGACCCGCTTATCCTGGGAGGGTCCCTAGGGGCACCACCACACCTGGGAAGGTACCAGGGGCACCCAGTAACCCCTGGGAAGGTCCCTGGTACACCCAACGCTTCTGAGAGGGTTTCACGGGTCCTGCCGCCCCTAGGATGGTTCCTGGGGCCCCCGCCGTCCGTAGGAGGAATCCAAGGAGCGTTGCCGTCCCTCGGAGGGTAAAATGGGTCGCAGCCGCCCCTGGGAGGGTCTCCAACGCACCTCGGAGGGACTCAGACGGCACCACCTCACCTGGTTGGGTCCCAGGGGCCCCTGCTGCCTCTGGGTTGGTCCCTGGGGATTCCACTGCCCCTGGAAAGGTCCTAAGTGACCCAGCCACGCCTAGGAGGTTCCCTTCCGCAAATTAGATAGGCCCTGGTAGAGCCAGCCCTATAGGTTCTCTGGGGGCAGCTGTTTTTGCACTATTTAGAACGCTGGTAGCTGCAACTACAACGCCCATCATCACATTTCCAGTATTATCACCTACTTAATAATGGAATGGAGAATAATATCCAACAGGAAAACATAAGTTGGGGTGTTGTGCTGACTGGCTGATCTCTTCTCCTATTGGCTGATAATTTGGTGGGGTTTTATTTTAGTCCACCAATCACAGTTAGGTAAGGAGTTGATGGACGTATATAATATGTACCACAGCACGAATAAGTGTGCTATAGGGCCCCAGCAAGTGCGGCTCCTGGGGTGTCCCAGGGACCTCGCCACCTCTTAGAGGGTCCCAGGGACCCCTGCCATCCCTGGGAGGGAGCCAGAGAGCCCCGCCTATCCTGGGAGGGTCCCTAGGGGCACCAACACACCTGGGAAGGTACCAGGGGCATCCAGTAACCCCTGGGAAGGTCCCTGGTACACCCGACGCTTCTGGAAGGGATGCATGGGCCCTGCCGCCCCTAGGAGGGTTTCTGGGGACCACGCCATCCGTGGGAGGATTCCAGGAAGCGCTGCCGTCCCTCGGAGGTTAAAATGGGTCCCACCCGCCCCTGGGAGGGTCCCCAACGCACCTCGGAGGGTCTCAGAGGACACCACCTTACCTGGGTGGGTCCAAGGGGCCCCGGCTGCCTCTGGGTGAGTCCCTGGACCCTCCACTGCCCCTGGAAAGGTCCTAAGTGACCCAGCCACGCCTAGGAGGTTCCCTTCCGCAAATTAGATAGGCCCTGGTAGAGCCAGCCCTATAGGTTCTCTGGGGGCAGCTGTTTTTGCACTATTTAGAACGCTGGTAGCTGCAACTACAACGCCCATCATCACATTTCCAGTATTATCACCTACTTAATAATGGAATGGAGAATAATATCCAACAGGAAAACATAAGTTGGGGTGTTGTGCTGACTGGCTGATCTCTTCTCCTATTGGCTGATAATTTGGTGGGGTTTTATTTTAGTCCACCAATCACAGTAAGGTAAGGAGTTGATGGACGTACATAATATGTACCACAGCGCGAATAAGTGTGCTATAGGACCCCAGCAAGTGCGGCTCCTGGGGTGTCCCAGGGACCTCGCCACCTCTTAGAGGGTCCCAAGGGCCCCTGCCATCCCTGGGAGGGACTCAGGGAGACCCGCCTATCCAGGGAGGATCCCTAGGGGCACCAACACACCTGGGAAGGTACCAGGGGCCCCCACCAACCCCTGGGAAGGTCCCTGGTACACCCGACGCTTCTGGAAGGGTTGCATGGGCCCTGCCTCCCGTAGGAGGGTTCCTGGGGTCCACGCCATCCGTGGGAGGGTTCCAGGAGGCGCTGGCATCCCTCGGAGGGTAAAATGGGTCCCACCCGCCCCCGGTAGGGTCCCCAACGCACCTGGGAGAGTCTCAGAGGGCACCACCTTACCTGGGTGGGTCCCAGGGGCCCCTGCTCCCTCTGGGTGGGTCCCTGGAGATTCCACTGCCCCTGGGAGGGTCCCAAGGGCCCCGGCCACGCCTAGGAGGTTCCCTGCTGCACCTGGGAGGGTATCTAGGAGTGCCAGCCCTGTAGGGTCTCTGGGGGGAGCTGTTATTACACTATTTAGAATGCTGGGAGCTGTAACTACAACGCCCATCATCACATTTCCAGTATTATCACCGACTTAACAATGGAATGGAGAATAATATCCAACAGGAAAACATAAGTTGGGGTGTTGTGCTGACTGGCTGATCTCTTCTCCTATTGGCTGATAATTTGGTGGGGTTTTATTTTAGTCCACCAATCACAGTTAGGTAAGGAGTTGATGGACGTATATAATATGTACCACAGCACGAATAAGTGTGCTATAGGGCCCTAGCAAGTGCGGCTCCTGGGGTGTCCCAGGGACCTCGCCACCTCTTAGAGGGTCCCAGGGACCCCTGCCATCCCTGGGAGGGAGCCAGAGAGCCCCGCCTATCCTGGGAGGGTCCCTAGGGGCACCACCTCACCTGGGAAGGTACCAGGGGCACCCAGTAACCCCTGGGAAGGTCCCTGGTACACCCAACGCTTCTGAGAGGGTTTCACGGGTCCTGCCGCCCCTAGGATGGTTCCTGGGGCCCCCGCCGTCCGTAGGAGGATTCCAAGGAGCGTTGCCGTCCCTCGATGGGTAAAATGGGTCGCAGCCGCCCCTGGGAGGGTCTCCAACGCACCTCGGAGGGACTCAGACGGCACCATCTTACCTGGTTGGGTCCCAGGGGCCCCTGCTGCCTCTGGGTTGGTCCCTGGGGATTCCACTGCCCCTGGAAAGGTCCTAAGTGACCCAGCCACGCCTAGGAGGTTCCCTGCAGCAAGTGAGATAGGCCCTGGTAGAGCCAGCCCTGTAGGTTCTCTGGGGGCAGCTGTTTTTGCACTATTTAGAACGCTGGTAGCTGCAACTACAACGCCCATCATCACATTTCCAGTATTATCACCGACTTAATAATGGAATGGAGAATAATATCCAACAGGAAAACATAAGTTGGGGTGTTGTGCTGACTGGCTGATCTCTTCTCCTATTGGCTGATAATTTGGTGGGGTTTTATTTTAGTCCACCAATCACAGTTAGGTAAGGAGTTGATGGACGTACATAATATGTACCACAGCGCGAATAAGTGTGCTATAGGGCCCCAGCAAGTGCGGCTCCTGGGGTGTCCCAGGGACCTCGCCACCTCTTAGAGGGTCCCAAGGACCCCTGCCATCCCTGGGAGGGACTCAGGGAGACCCACCTATCCAGGGAGGATCCCTAGGGGCACCAACACACCTGGGAAGGTACCAGGGGCCCCCACCAACCCCTGAGAAGGTCCCTGGTACACCCGACGCTTCTGGAAGGGTTGCATGGGCCCTGCCTCCCGTAGGAGGGTTCCTGGGGTCCACGCCATCCGTGGGAGGGTTCCAGGAGGCGCTGCCATCCCTCAGGTAAAATGGATTTCCGCCCCCGGTAGAGGTCCCCAACGCACCTGGGAGGGTGTCAGGGGAACCACCTTGCAGCAGGTGGGTCCCCAGGGCCCCCCTATCCCTCTGGGTGGGTCCCTGGGGATTCCACTGCCCTGGGAGGGTCCCAAGGGCCCCGGCCACGCCTAGGAGGTTCCCTGCTGCACCTGGGAGGGTCTCTAGGAGTGCCAGCCCTGTAGGGTCTCTGGGGGGAGCTGTTATTACACTATTTAGAATGCTGGGAGCTGCAACTACAACGCCCATCATCACATTTCCAGTATTATCACCGACTTAACAATGGAATGGAGAATAATATCCAACAGGAAAACATAAGTTGGGGTGTTGTGCTGACTGGCTGATCTCTTCTCCTATTGGCTGATAATTTGGTGGGGTTTTATTTTAGTCCACCAATCACAGTTAGGTAAGGAGTTGATGGACGTATATAATATGTACCACAGCACGAATAAGTGTGCTATAGGGCCCCAGCAAGTGCGGCTCCTGGGGTGTCCCAGGGACCTCGCCACCTCTTAGAGGGTCCCAGGGACCCCTGCCATCCCTGGGAGGGACTCAGGGAGACCCGCCTATCCTGGGAGGGTCCCTAGGGGCACCACCACACCTGGGAAGGTACCAGGGGCACCCAGTAACCCCTGGGAAGGTCCCTGGTACACCCAACGCTTCTGAGAGGGTTTCACGGGTCCTGCCGCCCCTAGGATGGTTCCTGGGGCCCCCGCCGTCCGTAGGAGGAATCCAAGGAGCGTTGCCGTCCCTCGGAGGGTAAAATGGGTCCCACCCGCCCCTGGGAGGGTCTCCAACGCACCTCGGAGGGACTCAGACGGCACCACCTCACCTGGTTGGGTCCCAGGGGCCCCTGCTGCCTCTGGGTTGGTCCCTGGGGATTCCACTGCCCCTGGAAAGGTCCTAAGTGACCCAGCCACGCCTAGGAGGTTCCCTTCCGCAAATTAGATAGGCCCTGGTAGAGCCAGCCCTATAGGTTCTCTGGGGGCAGCTGTTTTTGCACTATTTAGAACGCTGGTAGCTGCAACTACAACGCCCATCATCACATTTCCAGTATTATCACCTACTTAATAATGGAATGGAGAATAATATCCAACAGGAAAACATAAGTTGGGGTATTGTGCTGACTGGCTGATCTCTTCTCCTATTGGCTGATAATTTGGTGGGGTTATATTTTAGTCCACCAATCACAGTAAGGTAAGGAGTTGATGGACGTACATAATATGTACCACAGCGCGAATAAGTGTGCTATAGGACCCCAGCAAGTGCGGCTCCTGGGGTGTCCCAGGGACCTCGCCACCTCTTAGAGGGTCCCAAGGGCCCCTGCCATCCCTGGGAGGGACTCAGGGAGACCCGCCTATCCAGGGAGGATCCCTAGGGGCACCAACACACCTGGGAAGGTACCAGGGGCCCCCACCAACCCCTGGGAAGGTCCCTGGTACACCCGACGCTTCTGGAAGGGTTGCATGGGCCCTGCCTCCCGTAGGAGGGTTCCTGGGGTCCACGCCATCCGTGGGAGGGTTCCAGGAGGCGCTGGCATCCCTCGGAGGGTAAAATGGGTCCCACCCGCCCCCGGTAGGGTCCCCAACGCACCTGGGAGGGTCTCAGAGGGCACCACCTTACCTGGGTGGGTCCCAGGGGCCCCTGCTCCCTCTGGGTGGGTCCCTGGGGATTCCACTGCCCCTGGGAGGGTCCCAAGGGCCCCGGCCACGCCTAGGAGGTTCCCTGCTGCACCTGGGAGGGTATCTAGGAGTGCCAGCCCTGTAGGGTCTCTGGGGGAGCTGTTATTACACTATTTAGAATGCTGGGAGCTGTAACTACAACGCCCATCATCACATTTCCAGTATTATCACCGACTTAACAATGGAATGGAGAATAATATCCAACAGGAAAACATAAGTTGGGGTGTTGTGCTGACTGGCTGATCTCTTCTCCTATTGGCTGATAATTTGGTGGGGTTTTATTTTAGTCCACCAATCACAGTTAGGTAAGGAGTTGATGGACGTATATAATATGTACCACAGCACGAATAAGTGTGCTATAGGGCCCCAGCAAGTGCGGCTCCTGGGGTGTCCCAGGGACCTCGCCACCTCTTAGAGGGTCCCAGGGACCCCTGCCATCCCTGGGAGGGAGCCAGAGAGCCCCGCCTATCCTGGGAGGGTCCCTAGGGGCACCACCACACCTGGGAAGGTACCAGGGGCACCCAGTAACCCCTGGGAAGGTCCCTGGTACACCCGACGCTTCTGGAAGGGATGCATGGGCCCTGCCGCCCCTAGGAGGGTTCCTGGGGACCACGCCATCCGTGGGAGGATTCCAGGAAGCGCTGCCGTCCCTCGGAGGGTAAAATGGGTCCCACCCGCCCCTGGGAGGGTCCCCAACGCACCTCGGAGGGTCTCAGAGGACACCACCTTACCTGGGTGGGTCCAAGGGGCCCCGGCTGCCTCTGGGTGAGTCCCTGGACCCTCCACTGCCCCTGGAAAGGTCCTAAGTGACCCAGCCACGCCTAGGAGGTTCCCTGCAGCAAATGAGATAAGCCCTGGTAGCGCCAGCCCTGTAGGTTCTCTGGGGGCAGCTGTTTTTGCACTATTTAGAACGCTGGTAGCTGCAACTACAACGCCCATCATCACATTTCCAGTATTATCACCGACTTAACAACGGAATGGAGAATAATATCCAACAGGAAAACATAAGTTGGGGTGTTGTGCTGACTGGCTGATCTCTTCTCCTATTGGCTGATAATTTGGTGGGGTTTTATTTTAGTCCACCAATCACAGTTAGGTAAGGAGTTGATGGACGTACATAATATGTACCACAGCGCGAATAAGTGTGCTATAGGGCCCCAGCAAGTGCGGCTCCTGGGGTGTCCCAGGGACCTCGCCACCTCTTAGAGGGTCCCAGGGACCCCTGCCATCCCTGGGAGGGACTCAGGAAGCCCCGCCTATCCAGGGAGGATCCCTAGGGGCACCACCACACCTGGGAAAGTACCAAGGGCACCCAGTAACCCCTGGGAAGGTCCCTGGTACACCCACCGCTTCTGGGTGGGTTGCAGGGGTCCTGCCGCCCCTAGGATGGTTCCTGGGGCCCCCGCCGTCCGTAGGAGGGTTCCAAGGAGCGTTGCTTTCCCTTGGAGGGTAAAATGGGTCCCAGCCGCCCCTGGGAGGGTCTCCAACGCACCTCGAATGGTCTCAGACGGCACCACCTTACCTGGTTGGGTCCCAGGGGCTCCTGCTGCCTCTGGGTGGGTCCCTGGGGATTCCACTGCCCCTGGAAAGGTCCTAAGTGACCCAGCCACGCCTAGGAGGTTCCCTTCCGCAAATGAGGTAGGCCCTGGTAGCGCCAGCCCTGTAGGGTCTCTGGGGGCAGTTGTTTTTCCACTATTTAGAACGCTGAGAGCTGCAACTACAACGCCCATCATCACATTTCCAGTATTATCACCTACTTAACAATGGAATGGAGAATAATATCCAACAGGAAAACATAAGTTGGGGTGTTGTGCTGACTGGCTGATCTCTTCTCCTATTGGCTGATAATTTGGTGGGGTTTTATTTTAGTCCACCAATCACAGTTAGGTAAGGAGTTGATGGACGTATATAATATGTACCACAGCACGAATAAGTGTGCTATAGGGCCCCAGCAAGTGCGGCTCCTGGGGTGTCCCAGGGACCTCGCCACCTCTTAGAGGGTCCCAAGGACCCCTGCCATCCCTGGGAGGGACTCAGGAAGTCCCGCCTATCCAGGGAGGATCCCTAGGGGCACCACCACACCTGGGAAGGTACCAGGGGCGCCCAGTAACCCCTGGGAAGGTCCTGGTACACCCGACGCTTCTGGAAGGATTGCATGGGCCCTGCCGCCCTTAGGAGGGTTCCTAGGGCCCCTGCCGTCTGTAGGAGGGTTCCAAGGAGCGCTGCCGTCCCTCGGAGGGTAAAATGGGTCCCAGCCGCCCCTGGGAGGGTCCCAACGCACCTGGGAGGTTCTCAGAGGGCACCACCTTACCTGGGTGGGTCCCAGGGGCCCTCGTTGCCTCTGGGTGGGTCCCTGGGGACTCCATTGCCCCTCGGAGAGTCCCAAGGGCTCCGGCCACTCCTATGAGGTTCCGTGCTGTACCTGGGAGAGTCTCTAGGAGTGCCAGCCCTGTAGGGTCTCTGGGGGCAGCTGTTTTTGCACTATTTAGAACGCTGGTAGCTGTAACTACAACGCCCATCATCACATTTCCAGTATTATCACCGACTTAACAACGGAATGGAGAATAATATCCAACAGAAAAACATAAGTTGGGGTGTTGTGCTGACTGGCTGTTCTCTTCTCCTATTGGCTGTAATTTGGTGGGGATATATTTTAGTCCACCAATCACAGTTAAGTAAGGAGTCGATGGACGTATATAATATGTACCACAGCACGAATAATTGTGCTATAGGGCCCCAGCAAGTGCGGCTCCTGGAGTGTCCCAGGGAACTCGCCACCCTTTAGAGGGTCGCAGGGACCTCTGCCATCCCTGGAATGGACTCAGGGAGCCCCGCCTATCCTGGGAGGGTCCCTAGGGGCACCACCACACCTGGGAAGGTACCAGGGGCCCCCACCAACCCCTGGGAAGGTCCCTGGTGTACCCGACGCTTCTGGGAGGGTTGCGCGGGCCCTGCTGCCCCTAGGAGGGTTCCTGGGGGCCCACGCCATCTGTGGGAGGGTTCTAGGGGGCGCTGCCGTCCCTCGGAGGGTTCAATATGTCCCAGCCACCCTTGGGAGGGTCCTCGACGCACATGGGAGGGTCCCAGGGGCACCAACTTACCTGGGTGGGTCTCAGGGGCCCCCGCTGCCTGTGGGTGAGTCCCTGGAGCCTACAGTGCCCCTGGAAAGGTCCCAACGGACCTGGCCACTCCTAGGAGGTTCCCTGCCGCACCTGAGAGGGGCCCTGGTAGCGCCAGCCCTGTAGGGTTTCTAGGGGCAGCTGTTTTTGTACTATGCTTTCTAAACTTCCCTCTTATGGTTTCTCTCCCCCACTTTGTTTGCTAATCTCTAGCTTCTTTGAGAAACGTTTCATGGCATTTGTTGTTGAGGGATTTAATCTCTCATTCTTTCTCTACCAATAGTGGTGTCCCACAGGTGTTCTGCTCTTTCACCTACTCTCTTCCTACTTTTTATCAATGATTTACTTCACACTACGACTAATTCTATCCATTCTATCCATGTTTGGTGGATGTGGCATCCTGTGTACCACTGGCAAGGTCGTGGGCTCAAAACACTCGCCTTGCTCACAATGCCCACCATTTCTCTGTGGATGTCGGTCACACTAGAATAACCTGTTAAAGTACAGGCACATCCTTCTTTCCCCATTCAGCCAAACTGTAGAGTCCTCTGCCATCTTCTGTGTTTCCATACCTACTCATACAATCTGTTTCACTTCAAGAAGCTGGTTTTCTGTCATCTTCGTGGTGTAGATAAATACAGGTACAATCATTTTCTTTTCTATTTTTAATTTCTTTTTACTCTTATTTTTTTCACCCCCTAGGCCCTATTGTGGGTCGGTGACCTGTGCCAGGGTGGGCTATTTCCCGTACCTTTGACACCTCAATGATTATGGTCAACATGCTCAAGAAATCTTATGCAGTACATTCCGTGTCTGATGGCAATACGTACTTAAACGCTCAATACTGATATGCATTTAGGGATAAGTAATTCAAAATAAATCATTTATAATTTTACTTTTTCAGTTTTGCAACAAGTCTGGTTTCATGTACAGTACATACCTGCCTTGTTAGGAAAATTTCATATACCTGTATAAATAATCCAATGAACTGCATTTATACTCTAGTATTCTACAGTAGTCTATGTAAATAAAAGTATATATATTCTATAAAATAGTAATGGATACCAGCTCCATTAACTTACAATAACAAATAAGTTAAACAATGTATACTGCCATATATACAGGCAGTCCCTGAGTTATGAATGGGTTACGTCTCTCAACCCTGTTTGTAAGTCGGAACAGTGTTAATTCCACAGATTAGGTTAGGTTAGGTTAGGTTAAAGCATAACCCTGCCCTTACAAAACAACGTTAATATCCCCAACATAACAAATAATGTAAATAAAGGGACGTTAAACAATATAGAATAATTAACTTGTGGAAAAATTGAGATTTTAGTTTCAGATTATTGTGATGAATATACAGTATTGGGATCCCATTTGTAAGTGCGGTGTTCGTAAGTCAGTCGTTCATAACTCGGGTACTGCCTGTGTATTATATTCTTAAACTATTATGGCTATAAAATCCTAAATAACTGATGGAGTATGAACAATTTATAAATGTAATCACCACAACTAATTTGGGCACCCTGAATGACTACAAAAATTAACTATCATTTTAATATGAAAATACTGTATCTGCTATTTTATATAAAAACTGCATTAATTTAATATACACTATTTGCAGCTGCATTAGAATTTTAAATAAGTTTCATTTAATAAGATGAAAACTGAGCAGTGTATGACCTAAACCCCAGGACTTCTTGGTACTCTTGAAAGAGGTAGTGGGTGACCCTTGGCAAAGAGAACATGGGCATAATTTGAGATATTAAAGAAGTAATGGGGAGTAGCAACATCTACAGTGCCTAAAGTAGATACCTCAGGTGACTCTGTTGGTATTGTCTGCATGCTGCTTGGCTTTGAAGAACTGAAAGATCTAACAGGTAAGGTATTTGGAGAAGGTGGTGGTGGAAGAAGGCCAGGACTTGGTGGAGCAATATGAGAATGAGGTCTAGGGGGTAGGCGAGGTCGGCGTTGAGGAGGTATGTTAGCTAGAGGAGGGCCTGGCTTGACAGGAGGGTGCTTGCGTTTATCTCCCGAGTCGGCTTCCTCTTCCTTGGAGTCAGCATCGTCGTCATCAAAGTAAACACCATATTCTTCTTCTTCATCTTCATCCTTCAAAGAATAAATTTTTGAACAAAGTATCCATTGGGAAACTGTATTTTAATTCATAAAAAATAAGTTTAATGAAATACTGTAAGAGAGATAGTCTGACAATTCTTCAAAACAATTTCAGTAAAATTGATTTAAAAAAAAAATTCAGGGTTAAATTTTGCTAATAAATTAAGAAATCTTGTACCATTGGCAATCATATTGTTCATGTGTAGATAATGGTAATCATCATCAACAAAATTGCAATAAGATCTAGAACAATCAGTGGAGGTAATGAATGCTGGTGCCAAAACACAGTCTATGGTGCTTAAAGTATAGTATTTCCTTATAGTTTAGACAGAACTTACTTGAAATTCATAATTTGCAAAAGAATTTGAATAAAAAATATCAATCAGATGACGTTCTGTAACAATCAACAATATGCACCCCTTTTACTAAGTTTCATAACTGTTATTTATACATCTAGAAAATGAATCTACAGGCATAGCATATTTATTTTCAAGTCATAAGGGGCCAAAATTCACTTAAAATGATTTGGTAAAAACAAATGCTGACTTTAGCCAAGCTTTCACAAATATTAAGCAGCCTGAAAAAAGGTGTCAGTATTTATTTAGGTGCATTTTAATAATGAACATTAATCCATGACAGGATGTACTTAAAAATTTTCAGCACGGAGGAAAAGTTGCCACAAGCCACAGCAATAAGGCATAAGGTGCCGAACTTAAAAATTATGGCGTAGAAAAATCCTGAATTATGTAGATGAACACCGTTGTTGCGGGACAAAAGGCACTCATCATCTACTCATGATTGCCGTCACGTAAGGGTTCAGAGGCTAAGATTAATTCAAAAACAAATTCAGAACTATACCATCAACAAATCTTATCTAGTTGTTGCTGGAAATTCATTGAGAGATATTGCAACATTCAAAAGATTAAGGAAACTGCAATAAGGTAACTATAACTTACTTGATTGACTCGTGGTTTTCTGGATGAAGACGCCATGGTGAACATGTCCTGGGGGAGATCATAGCACTTGCACACACAGCATGATGGGAACCGGAACCAGTCACTGAGGAGTAATATTTTCTTTTTTACCAACTTCATTAGTACAACAACACTATGACTACAAGGCAAGACATTTACTTTTTTCAAAGGTTCCGTTGAAGAAATGCAATAAATTTGTCAAATGACAGCATACTTTCTGCTTTTAACTTCAGGTCACTTTTCATTTCAATCATGGGCGTATGGGATAAGTAGCCTGGGCGTAGGGGCGCCAAGTATTTGGACCCAACAAGAAAAATGTTGCTTAGAGCCTCAGATTGACATTACCATAACCTAAAATTATTGAGCTAGCACATTTCACTGGTATAAAATTTTCTAGGGTAGGGCAAGCCATAAAAAAATGATGCTGATAGAAGCAAGAGGAGTGTGGACACAAAGGTTGAATATACTGTACCTATGATTTCAATATCTACCTCTATACCCATACAGTACAGTGTAAGGTTGCCCCACTTCCTAAAATGTCAGCCCAATCATAGACAATGCGCTGTGACCATTTATATGGGAGAGTGTAAAATGATGAAATGCAGTCTGAGTTCATGCGAAGTAGGGGGACTACAAGAGCAATATTTATGGCCAAGTAACTACAAAAATAGCTAGGTAAGGAAAGCTGTACAGTACTAACACTGGACAGTGAAGTCCAAAACTCAGAACAGACAACCATCAAAACAGCTAATAAGCAGTTAAATGGTAAATTCAATCAAATATAATTAAATGGATCACTGCGTTCATCACTTGAGGACGAGTCTCACTTGACGGCAGCACAGCCAAATTTGTACCAGTGCCTTCTATAGGGAGAGTTAAGCCAACTTTACACAAGGCAAAACCATATTGTAAACCTCACACTGTGAACTTGCATACATAAGGCTGTGATTGCTCAAGCCCTCCTATTGTTAGCCTAATGCCACCATGCAAGAAAATGATGTAAAGTTTAGTGAGAAAGTTTAATTTTCTATATTTTTGTGACAGTATTGTTACCAACCTCCATTTTGCAAACCTAAAGTTGTCATAACTCTCCCTATAGAAGACACTGGCTTACAATGACACAAAATTCTAGATACAGTAAGATGATCCACTACCAGAAGCAGAGGTAGATCAACTGATTCTTCATGCCAATTCCTCCAGATGAATTAAAATACTGTTTTTTATTACATATGCATGGAAAAAAATACAATGAAATTTCCTTATCCTCTTCATGACTGATGAGCTGTCTAAGTGCTTGAACAGTTGGTTATGCAATAAAACTAACAATGCTTAATTTTTTTTCCTAGAAATGCATTAAACATTTAATTTCATCTCCCAGGGTACATCTGCCGACAATATGTAGTGAGACGAGTTAAGTTGGCCTGCTGTATTTTTTAGGCTGCAGTCCCATACCGATATTTACTATTGAAATATTGCAATTGGCTATTACAGTACACAGCAATTCTCAGTCCCACTCTCACAATATATAGAAGGCCTACTATATTGTAATATCACATTCTTTACGGAAGATTACGTGGCTGGTGTACCCTAATACAATAGTGCTTACCTGAAAATACCACGGCATTCGTTAGTTGGGTCAAAGGCTAACAGTTTGTGCAGGCGGTACTGCTGCTCACAGCGACACCCAGCTCTGCAGTACATCTGACGGTGCTCATACCTGCAAAAGATTTAATTCTTAATGCACTTCATAAACCAAGAATTCAGTTTAACCAACTCTTCCACCCCCCACCTCCTATCTATACAATCCTTAACTGTTGAAGTAAATAAGAACAAGAATAAGAGATAAGGTAAGAGAAATCATGTAAAGAAATTAAAAAAAAAAAAGAAGAGAAATATGCAGTGATATCCCTGTTAGCCGGAACAATTGGTGCAGAGCACTTCCGGAAATGAGAGATTTCCGGGTAACGAGACGACTCTCTCAAAGCTGGAAAAAACCCTCATCCACAGAATTTTCCGGGTAACGTGCACCTCCCTAAAGTTGATTATTATTATAGGAATATATGAAACGGATTAAGATGAATAAACTATAGGAATAAAATATGAAGTATATTAAGATACAAAACCACATTTGGGTACGTAGGTAAGGGTGATGGAGGATGGAGGGAGGACAACTCACCACCTCCCGGTCGACACCCAGCGATCCCTTTATAACAATAGCATGCAACTTTACCATAATTCCCGTATTATTTAGGTTCATTTGGTACTGGGTTAATAAAATTGCTCCTCCTAGATGAGCAATTATGGTCTCTTGTTTATAGTACAGAGCGATATAAGCTGATCGTTCCTGCTCTCTCTATCAATGTAGCCAGCACTCACCATCTATGAAACACCAGATTAACCTAAATAAGCAAACGATCACTAAATTAATGCTAAACCGCTAACTGTGCTACCCATGGCTTTCTGCATAAGATATAACTATGATCACATTTCAACCAACTGAGTAAGCGATAACTATGTAAAATGAGACCCCACTGTAATCATATCAGGCTCTTGGTAAAAAAAGAAAAAAGACCCTGTATTATACTCTATTAACAAAATTATAATTCAAAGAAAATTCCTGGATTACGCACATGCATCTTTCCCACTGGACAAACTGCTCGAAGGGGTACAAGTTGAGAAGGGCGAGGGTCTCTCCACGTGTGTTGTTGGCCCAATAAGGTGCTACGAACTCTTCCTTGACTGGACAAGCATTTCTGTAAAAAGGTAAAATCCAATCAAACTCACAGAACAAATGGTACATTACAATTTGCAACATTGAAACTAAAGAGAAAAAAAAATCTGTCCTATGATTCAACATTAGAATAAAATTTCTTTAGTTCAAAATAATGACCTTGAAACACAACTTTACACACTGCTGGTAACTAAGTCATTTGACAACATAAAGTTCAAATTAAAACACGGACATGAATGGCCTTAGTAAGTTATTGGTAGAGAATGTAAACTGACTCATACCTGTGTGACTGGGTATTCAAGAGTGCAATATTACAGTACTGTATATTTTTTCCATGGTGCCACATTTAAACTATTTGCCAAAGTGAAAGTATTTTATATTTTCAAATTCTAGATATAATAGAACATCTCTTTTGGCAATTTCTCCCTTTTCAAAGTTCTTCTTCTGATCATAACACACCACGTACGTACAGCCAATTACTGCATGTCTGGTATTTTCTTTAATTGACGGTACATTTTACTTGCACTTTAGAAGCTCACGCCTTCACATATTTACAGGTATGTTTTAATTTATTCTACTTCACGCAAGCATTTTGAGTACCACACAGTAATTTCCTTCCAACCACCAAAACTAAGCATAAATTTGATCTGTAGTCCTTACCTTTACTATTATAAACTGTAAACTTTTATAATGTACTGTATCACTTACATCCCACGAACCGGTCTCTTTATTCTAGGAGGCTCCTCAGGTGATTCAGTCTTGACTTCCTCCCTAACATTCCCTTCGACCCTCAGTTCATCGAAGACCTGTTCCCGTAATTCCAACTGTAAACCCGCACTCTCTGCCACTGAGTCATCTTCACCATAGATCACTCCTTCCTCATTAGGGAGTCCTCCACCAACACTTCCATCTCCACTTAAAGCTTCTTCTATGCCAATGTCTATCTCATCTTTATTGAAATCAACTCCATCTTTGTTACTCTTCATCTCCTGGTCAACTCTATCACTGAGGGTAAGTGTTGTCAAATCATCCTCATCTAAAGGAGTGGATACAAAACCCTCACTGAAGTGGCCATCATCATTTTCAAGGTTGTCATAAAGTACACCTGAATGGGTAGTAGATGATTCTGAGGTAGAGGTCTGTAAAAGAAAAGATTGTTTTGAAATATATAACAACACACAGGTTCATGAAGTTAATACACTTAAAATAAGCAATTAGATGTGTATTCTAGTACACTATACCCTCGTTAATTTGACGAAAAGGGGGCTCTGGGTCACTCAAATTACCAAAAAATCCGAATTAACCAAGCTCGGAATATTCTGACATTACTGTATGCGACAATTTCCGAATTTTTGTGTTTGTTTTCTGGACCGTTCCTCACTATTCCAACCAACAAACATACTCAGTTACCATGCCTTGGCTGCTACATAAAGCATTATATTGTATTTGTAATTCCTGTGCAAACATAAGTATTTTTTAAATAGACATACAGTAATAATAAAGTAAATAATACAGTACAATAATAAATTAATGTAACACATTGCTAAGTGAGGTGACACAGCACTTACACAGCACACAAATTAATAACACCACTAAACCATTGTCTTTTAACATTATAATTTCTAAATATTTTAAAATTAACTGAAAATTAATTTCAAATCATTCCTTTAATGTTAACAGAAACATTTTTCTTCAAGGACATTTCACTAGAATTAACACTAAACTACAGTACAGGTATATCACTAGCATCCACCACGTATGGCGCATGAGTAGTAAACAACAGGGTGTTGTCAGACGTACGGGCGTCCACGATGCAATAATAGTTTACGTACAATTTATCACAAAATGCATTAATTTTACTTACTCAAAATCTTTCAGATTAATATTTCCATCAACACATTTAACAACATTATCCCAACAAAACTACTAAAAAACAAGGTGCTAAGCATCTCAACTGATGAGGTGGCACACCACATAACCTCCCGGACACGCTGGTCATCTACTGCCTCATGATAGCTTATGTACCACTAAGACGATTCCCAGATTGATGATTTCTTCCCATATGGACAATTATAGCTAAAAATCATCCAAATCTCACAAATTCTATTATAAATACTGTGTTTATTATATGAATATATTATGAATTATATTAAGATGAATTAATTATAGGAATATGAATTATATTACAAAAAAATACATCAAATTATATTAGGAATGTTCTTTGATTATAAAGATTACTGACTGTTTCCTCCCAAACTCATCACCTAACTAAATGACTTCACAATTTCCACCTGTTTTAGCCTTGACGCTATTATGAGGTCACCTGATGTCAAGTGACCTCACTACAGATCACATGAATATTTAGGTTGTCAACCTGTCTTACTGACAGAATCATGTACTGTACCACCACTTGACTCTCACTACTGTGACCTGGGTTTGAGTCCCACCTGGGTTGGATGTGAGAAAGGTGTTGCAGGTTTTCTCTGAGTATTCTGGTTTCTTCATTTGAATCCAGGAAGATGAAATGAAGAGTAAAACCAGGATACAAAGGCCTGACCCCATTGTCCAGTAAAATTAATTAAATTAATTAGAAACACAACCTTACCTCAGGTACTGTTATATATGTATAACTGCTGTAAGTCTCAGCTGACCCAGGGTTGGTGTAGGATGAACTAGAGGAGTCGGTGGAAGAATCTGAGAGTGTTGTCCACAAGTCTCCAAAGAGATCAACTTCTTCTCTTTGTTCAGGAGGAAGGAGCGTGGGTTGGGTGTCTCTCTCTACTGTTGCCAGGTACTCCCTTGTAAGTGATGCTTCTACTCCATCTTCGGTTTCTTCGTTCCACCGATTATCTGTAGAAAAAATATAAGATATAACATAAAGACGTAAATCCTATTTCCACAAAGAGTTTAAAAATGTTCTATGCTCGACTTCAAATATCAGAGATACCTGGTATGTAGTGTATATACTGTATGCCCAAGTCCTGGTATGGAAATGCAATAGCTATGAAAAATTATATTTGTATTAATAGGATATTCAGAGAGCACTGCCACTATGAATTACATTAAGAGCATGATGCTAATTTTTTTTTTACCTTGATCAAGCAGTCCAATATATAAGGTGTAAGCAATTTCCCTGAATTTTCACTACGGTAAAAAATATGTTACCCAGCCCTGTGATTCACCACAGGTTACATACACCCCACAAACAAACTCAAGTGAATCAAGACGGGTTGCTACTAAATTTTAAACAACACGTATAACACAAAGTAAAATGTGGATCCTACAGTACAGGTCTGACAGCCCATTAATGGTCTGTAGTGTGAAGGGGGTCAAGAAATAATAATCAAGAAGAAAGGGCTATGTACTGACTTTTTGATCAGGGAATAACATTTCTATACACATATAAGTTTGCTAATCAGCGACTCATTTTCTCTTTTGTTTGCTTTAAACAAACAGACTTCAAAAATAAATAAATGAAATATCTTAAAAAATAAAAACATTTCAACAACATCAACAAGTTGTTAAAGCCTTACTTGTTGTAGTTGGTACATTGTCCATAAATGTAGTTGGGGGGTCACTAGTGGTGGTCCCAGTGGTAGAAGTCTGCCTGGAAGTTGTTCTGGTGCTCTTGGTGGTTGCACTACTGGTAATTCTACCTGAAGTATCACTCATTCTGGTATTTGTGTCAGTTGTGGTAGTTTTTCCCTGAGTTTTGGAAGCTTTAGACTGGGATTTTGGCATGGTAGTAGTGGGAACTTGTTGCTCTCTACTGTTGTACTCTGGCTCAATGGTTACCTTCATGGCTCGGCCATTTTGGTGATCCCTTTGTTTGTTATCTGATTTTGCAGTTTTGGAGTTCAATGTATTTGAGTTCGAGGGATTCTGGTACCTGGCTGACCGTGCACTAGGTGGTGATGGATGCCGGTACTGATGCTGTCGTGTGGGCATTTCATCAAACATGTCTTCATACAAGTCATTAAGTAACTCTGCCCTCAGCACATTGTAGTGGCGCTGGTTGCCATACATACGCTTCATCAGGCCCTGATTTTCATATACAAAACGGCGAACAGCACTCCTGTTGATGGAAACAAACTAGTAATTACCAAAAATGGAATCTGCATTAAAAATTACAATTCTTTCCCACTATCCTGGTTGGCAATCTACATCACTGCAAATTGTACACTCTTATGCAGGGGCATTGTTACGTACTGTCATGTGTCCCCGTGCCCCGAATCAAATCAAGATCAATGAATTGAGACATGCGGCAACAGTCTTGTATTGGTGAGGTGGTTTATATCTGTAAATGTGAATGGTTATTATCTTGTTATGGTGGTAAGGCTATGTTAGATCTCCAGCTACAGTACCTTCATCTTCCTACTAACATATCTATATGCATCGCAACCTTCGGAAACTCATGCTGAAAAGACCACAAATGGGTACAAAATAGAAACTGTGACCTCCAGTTATGACTTTGATGTTTAAAAAGAAAGCATTGTATTTGATTTTCTGCACTTTCTAGTGTTGATACACATTCACAATGTGCTTCATCTGAGTACAGTACTATAAGTGTTACTGTAGTCCCTGAACATCCAGACAGAGTAAAAACATGAACTGTAACAATTCTGACTTTAAATGGGTATACAAAAACGTACTATATCCATTTCTTTACCAAACCTATTTATTTATATAATTTAGTTTCACAATAAAGTGTTAGGAGAGAGAGAGCGAGAGATATGGGCTATACAGGGATACATCCCTGAACCCTGAACATAACTCAGAACAGTGTGATTCCATAGTTTAGGTTAGGTTAAAGCACAACCTTGCCCATACATTAATATCCCAAACATAACAAATAATGTAAATAAAGTGATGTTAAACAATATAGAATATAATGAAAATAATGTAAATTGGGAATTTAATTAAAAATTTTTACGATGAATGTACTGGGATCCCGTTCATAAGTGAGGATGATTGTAAGTCGGACGGTTGTAACTTGAGGACTGTCTGTACTTGGAGAATAAAAACAGTACAGTATTTATTAAACAAACTCTCCTAACATCATGGTTTACAACTGAACACTCAAGACTCACCACTAGCTCCTTGGGTTGATATAACTAATGCATGTAAGTTCTGAGAGTACTGTACCTAGACAACATACTACTTTTAAAATATCAATACAGTACAGAACTTAATCCCAGACTTATTAACAAAACCCATACTTAGTCCAACATAAGATTCTGGCTATTTTCTAAAACAATGTATTGAGTATTTGTAGTCTGACTGAAAACCTTTATTTTCTCTCACAGTATACAATTCCCAGCTGTAACAAGACATGGGAAAGTATCTTTCATTTACATTGATGTGAGATAAAAAATACTCCTCTCATGGTTGTGTGAAGGAGTTAAAATTAAATCTTAAAATAAAAACTTCAAAATATACCTAAGTGACAAACCCACACATAGATAAATGTCCTGAACACAAGCAAGTAAATTTAGACGGTATATATCCAGCAAAGTGTCTGTTATCAATTACATACAGCAGCAGAAACTAAGCATTTGTGTGTTTAGCAGCCTCTCCTCGGATAAAAAAAATGTAAAACGAGTAAAGAAAACCGCACGGGTATACTATGAACCAAGAATCATCAGAGAGTGACCTGTGAAATCTAAATCACAAAGCAGCCTTCAGATGATATTCTTACTACAAATAGCACTCTCATATCCAATAGCTCAAGGCCAAAGGTTTGATGCTATCTGACAAAGTGGACGACTCAAGCACCAATAAGGATTCTGAGCACTAAAAAGTAAACAAAATAAAGAAATCATAGTACACTTACCATGGGTACTGGGTGCCAGCATTCTCACACCAGCTGTTCCTAGAAATATCACAAGGAAGTTCAGGGAAATGGTGAAACTGCCTGCCATAGCGCTCGTTGCCACTTCCACACGTCATGTACTCGTCGTAACCCGCCCATACCATCCCCACAGACACCCACCATGCCTGTAAGGATAAAAAGATTTTGATCATGTTAAATACTGCAAGAATGATGTAAGTATTGTGTAAAACAAAAATAATGTACAGTATTTGTTACCCTAATTTTTGCATTTACATGTGACCAAATACCATACAATACAGGATGAAGATATCAAATAATTTTATATATAAGAACTAAAAACAAATCCAGTATCGGCCATAACATTTACGACTGTAATGTGAAATATCCTGTACCATACTGTACAAAAATTCCTGTCACTTTATGCCACTTATTATGAAACAATGTGTCATGCCATAAGACCCCTCTTAATCTTAATCAAGTTGCTTTCACTTTCATTTACATTACTGTAAAGTATATTCAGCTTTTTGTAACTCACATTTAAAAGCTTTCAGCCTCTTGGCAGACTCCATAATGCCAGCACTAACAGCACTCTGTACCTTAACAGCTGAGAAATTTCTACCGCTAATAAGGGTTTCTAAAACACAGGAATGTAACTTGTATGTCAAAATTAAAAAAAAAGGCAAACTACTTTAGTAAAGTTTAAAAAAAAGTTTAACACGCCATGTTTTTCAACCGATCTCAATCCACTGACTGTAAGCTTAGCATATATGACTCATTCCATTTTTTCTGTTCACTGCACCCTCACTGTACAGTTTTTCTTTTAGAGTAGAATAATCGGTAATATTACAGTAAACAGCAACCACAGAATTCCGGAAATTTACTACACTCAATCGATAGAACTATTTTTCTATGATCATAGGTTAGGTTAGGTTGTTGAAACCCGCAACTTTACCGAATAACCTACATGTAACAGTGAGCGGATCATATGAATGTTTGCTGTAACCTCCTACTACCTACACAATGTTACATACAATGTCACTTTTGGCCTCCAAGTGCTAATAGACCCCTGCCCCATGATGACAAGTACAGTAGGCAGGCTTGGTGAGGTGTTATACAGCCTTCTTTGATCACCTTACAAGACGAGGTAAAGACTAAAATAAATGGGAGTTCACTGCTGCCTTTGACGAAGAGTGAGGTATTATATTTGATGCCGTTTTCAAAATGGCATTTCCTTTTACCTCTTTAAAAATGTGCTAGGTCACAATTAGGCCACAGTGAACAGGTTAATAGTGCTGTACTGTACAGTGGTTTGTGTTAACTACCTTTAAACAGTTCAGCAGTCACAGAGTGTAGTAAATTTGGTCTACGTCACGAGTGTAAACAAAACAGAGGACGCGCCACTAACGGTGGAGATATCTTCAAGGAACTTGTTCATTACTGAGGATCAACTGGGAGTCCATAGAAGAACTATTTACTCTGTGTATCTTCCTTTGCGAATACTCTGATTCATAAAACATCCAAGTAATTTACCTTCCATTCCGATAACGCGATGAAGTTACCGACGCTGCAAGTCTCGGAGTCTACGTCTCGGCGACGCCCACTGTTATGTCAGGGATCTCATATGTAATACTTTAATCATTCTTAAGTTGTTCGAAACACTTTGTTCTTAACGCTAATGAATACATTTTCTTGATAAATTATCAATTTTTTAACCTGGACATACTCTAAACGATTGTAGCATAACAAAAAATAATGCTCAAGTTAATTTATAGATTTTATTTTGCTAAAGGAAAGTGTAAAGCACTCTTTTTGTAAACGGGGATAGTTGAATTAAATATCACCAATGACGACCCAATATAGTACTTAGTCAACTGTTACATCATAACAGTAGGCCATACTCTGAACTAAAGTCCGCATATCACATTCCATGTAACAAAGCAAAATTCACAACTTTTCTAAACTACAAAAAATAAATAAAAACACTCAGAGACAAAGAACCTATTAATACACTGAATGTGCTGAAGGCATCACTCAACTTACAAAAGGAAGCCAGGAAGGCATATAATGAAGTTTCCAAGGGACTGGCATGGATGAAGCTATGTGGAGTCACTGGGGTGTATCGAAGATAAGAGGTCTCACTTGTCCCGAGTACAAGGTCAGCGTGGCGATGGTACAATGCAATGGCAGGCAGTGGACGCGCAGTGGGATTGCACAGCCAGGTCTGGGGCTCTACTAAACAACACTGAGAGAAAGTTATTTGCACGGAGGAGAGTAGTTTCCTTCCAAGAAGAGACCCGGCAACGAACACCAGTAAGAAAGGCCATGACCCACGAGGCGGGAGGTGGATGGTGAGAGGAGGATGGGGCAGGAACCGTATGCACCAGGCCATGTCCGGGAGATTGCTGTTTTCACTTTCACTGTTCCTAACATCCACCTCATAAAACACTACCGTAAACTGATTAGGCCACCTCAGCTACTTGGTTACTGTGCTTTAATAACCAATGTCTCTACTGTAGAATGCTTTGGAACAACAGTGTGCCATGTTACTAGTGTAATGGCGAGACAGATGTTCTCTGCAGCTCGGAAGACGACTCCTGAACTCAAGTATTAACAAAATCTAAAGTTTAAATTTTTATACCTTACAAAATAATCCTGGAAACAATTAAATCTGACACACAAAGAAGGTAACATCAGAGGGAAGATGCTTCAGGTGATCATGGCCAAGGTCAGTGTTAGGTCGGTACATCGTCTCGAGGACCTCTCTCAGCAGAGGACCTCGACTGTCATCTTGGACTCAAAATACAAACAGATGCTATTACCAGTGTTACCATAAACAGCACATCATGGTGTCCTGTATCCAGCACGGGTACTCAGTTCCCTTAAAATTCAATACCGTCAACTTCTTTAAATTTAGGCGCAATTATTGTTAGTTACCTTTTATCCAAGAACGAATGATTAGATTCTTATAGACTAATTTTGACCGAGATGTAGCTACAGGCGGGTACTGAGCTACAGGCGGGTACTGAGCTACAGGTGGGTACTGAGCTACAGGCGGGTACTGAGCTGCAGGCGGGTACTGAGCTACAGGTGGGTACTGAGCTACAGGTGGGTACTGGGCTACAGGTGGGTACTGAGCTACAGGTGGGTACTGAGGCTACAGGCAGGTGCGGAGCTACAGGCGGGTACAGGCTGAGCTACAGGCGGGTACTGAGCTACAGGCAGGTGGGTACTGAGCTACAGGCTGAGCTACAGGCGGGTACTGAGCTACAGGCGGGTACTGAGCTGGGCTGGGCAGGTGGAGCTGAGGCGGGTACTGAGCTACAGGTACAGGCGGGTACTGAGCTACAGGCGGGTACAGGTGGGTGCTGGGCTACAGGTGGGTGCTGGGCTACAGGCGGGTGCTGGGCTGGGCGGGTGCAGGCTACAGGTGGGTACTGAGCAGGTGGGTGAGCTACAGGCGGGTGCTGGTACAGGTGGGTACTGGGCTACAGGCTGGCTACAGGGTGCTGAGCTACAGGTGGGTACTGAGCTACAGGCGGGTACTACAGGAGCTACAGGTGGGTACTGGCTACAGGTGGGTGCTACAGGCGGGCTGAGCTACAGGTGGGTACTGAGCTACAGGTGGGTACTGAGCTGGGTGGGTGCTGAGCTACAGGTGGGTACTGAGCTACAGGCGGGTACTGAGCTACAGGCGGGTACTGAGCTACAGGTGGGTACTGAGCTACAGGTGGGTACTGAGCTACAGGCGGGTACAGGCGGGTACTGAGCTACAGGTGGGTACTGAGCTACAGGTGGGCTACAGGCACTGAGCTACAGGCGGGTACTGAGCTGAGCTACAGGTGGGTGAGCTACAGTACTGGGCTACAGGCGGGTGGGCTACAGGTAGGTGGAGGCTGGGCGGGTACTGAGCTGGGTGGTACTGGGCAGGTGGGTACTGAGCTACAGGTGGGTACTGAGCTACAGGCTGGGTACTGAGCTGAGCTACAGGTGGGTACTGGGCTACAGGCGGGTGCTGAGCTACAGGTGGGTACTGGCTGGGCGGGTACTGGGCTACAGGGTGGGTACTGAGCTACAGGTGGGTACTGAGCTACAGGTGTACTGGTACAGGTGGGTGCTGAGCTACAGGTGGAGTACTGAGCTACAGGCGGGTACTGAGCTACAGGCGGGTACTGAGCTACAGGTGGGTACTGAGCGGGTAATAAGCTACAGGTGGGTACCCAGCTACAGGCGGGTGCTGAGCTACAGGCAGGTAATAAGCTACAGGCAGCTGAGCTACAGGTGAGGCTACAGGCGGGTACAGGCGGGTACTGAGCTACAGGTGGGTACTGAGCTACAGGCTACAGGGGTGCTGCTGAGCTACAGCTACAGGCTGGGCTGAGCTACAGGTGGGTACTGAGCTACAGGTGGTGCTGAGTGCTGGGCGGGTACTGAGCTACAGGCGGGTACTGAGGCTACAGGTGGGTACTGAGCTACAGGTGGGTGCTGAGCTACAGGCCAGGGGCTACTACTGAGGTGGGTGCTACAGGAGGCTACAGGTGGGTACTGGGTGCTACTGCTACAGGTGGGCTGCTACAGGTGGGTGCACTGAGCTACAGGCGGGTGCTGGGGGCTGCCTGAGCGGGCGGGCTAAGCTGCAGGGGCTACAGGCGGGTGCTGGCTACTGAGCTACAGGCGGGCTGGGTACTGAGGCGGGTGCTGGGCTGAGCGGGTACTGAGCTGGGTGGTGCTGCAGGCGGGTACTGAGCTACAGGTGGGTACTGAGCTACAGGCGGGTACTGAGCTACAGGCGGGCTACAGGCGGGTACTACAGGGTGCAGGTGGGTACTGAGGCTACAGGTGGGTACTGAGCTACAGGTGCCTGAGCTACAGGTGAGCTGGGTGGGTGCTGAGCTACAGGCGGGTGCTGGGTGGGCTGGGTGGTAGGCGGGTGTGCTGAGCTGAGCGGGTACTGAGCTACAGGAGTGCTGAGCTACAGGTGGGGGCTGGCAGGCTACAGGCGGGTACTGAGCTACAGAGCAGGTACTGAGCTACAGGTGGGTACTGAGCTACAGGTGGGTGCTGGGTACTGAGCTACAGGTGGGTACTGAGCTACAGGCAGGAGGCAGGGTACAGGTGGTGCTGAGCTACAGGCGTGACACAGGTGGGTACTGAGCTACAGGCAGGA